GTCAAGGAAAACACCAGTTGTAATAGATTTGTTTATAATTGTTGTAATTATTATTAAAGTACGGGGTAATGTTAGCAAGATACATTAACATCCCATTACTGGTATTATTATTTTATCTTTAAACAACAAGTGATTTTGTGATTTTCGGCATTCATTGACCATTAACGTTAGATGTACCTATTTTTGTTTAATATTATATGTAAACAAGGGAAACCTGTCATTAGCGTTACTCTTATTACACTATGTAAAATATTTTATGTAACGCCGTTGGTTTTCTTAATAAATAAATAAATAAATGTCTCAGGGTGACGGGCGCAGTGGACCCGTAAGATCTTAGCTATTTAAAACTCTGAATGGTAGTGCAACTGTTATGGGTCATCGATAATTGACTGTTATGGAGATCGATTCAAGTCCATACGATCTAAGGGTTTTTTGTATCGATTTATTTCAATGCGATTATCAAACGAATCAAGTTACAATTGCTCCACGTAGGACTGAGTACACTACTGGGAATAAATAAATCAATCAATTAAATGGAAATCGAATACTCTAGATCAAAAAGCAATAAACATTTTGTAATAATACAGTTTGTATAGTTGTAGTAGGTCAATTCCCGCTTACAGAGTCGCAATAAAAACGGGTGGCTTTCAAATAAATAAACATAACCGGCACTTAGCCAAGAAACTATGAAACTCATCAATTTCAGCGGCACTTTACAAATTACAATTAGGTGTATGAGTGGTTAGTTATGATTTAATTACACACGCGAGTGCCATTGACACACACGTAGACAACCACAAATTGCACCCATGCTCACGAGAGAAATAAATGTAGGCCACACAAATATTTGTCCCGGCCCGGGAATCGAACATGGGACCTCTGCGTGGCAGAGGCATGGTAACGGTTCGGCCACGGAGGCAGTTATACATATTTTATAATAAAAAAATAACAGCGAAGATTTCAGCAGAGAATTTTTGTTTACGTGATAGTTTAATGATTCGACGTACCGCCTTTCAAGCAGAGGCCGTGGATTTGAATCCGGGCTCGCACCTTTTAGGCTCAACTCGCACTGGCGCAGAATCGAAGCGTCCGGATCACAGCGTGGTCGGCATCTGACGCTTCACTACGCCTAAGTAACGCGCGGTGACACGCGAAACCGCTCAACTTCAACCAGGCGTTGACGAGCGAATGCGTGCGTCGTCGCGTTTCCATATTTGCATAACACAAATTCGTACCTTAATAATGGAAAAATAGAGATGAATATGGTATAGGCGAAAAACATGATACGTCACGTTTAATTTGAAATTTTCCATGACCTTTTCGGCGAAGGAACACTTCATAATGAAACTTACACAAGTTACTACTTACAAGTTTCACAACCCTTGGAAAACGTGGTAATTCGCCTCTCGCCTGAGAGGAGACCCGTGACCAGCAATGGGACAAATATTGGATTAACCATGATGATGATGAATGCTTTTTCTATATTAGAATTTACTTTAGTAAGTATCCAGTCACCATACACGCTTTTAGAAATACAATATATAACCAATAAAGCGTTTTCCTGACATAAGATAGGTCACAATGCTAAAGGAATGCCCCGTACGTGATAAAATCCTGTTTGCTCCATTATTGGTAATATAAGTCATTCCACGAATAGCTCAGTAGGTATAAAAAGGCTTATTTGTAATATTACTTCTAACTAAAAAAGGTTATAAAAGAGATTGTAAATGGCATATTTCAAAAAGAGCGTCGGTAGTCTAGTAAGAGCAGGGTTGTTTTGCAATCGGAACGTTCGCTTCATATACTTATGTCTTTAATCTCTAAATTATGAACATTTGTATCTCTTTAGTAGTCTTTTTATGCTATGTTTTCCTTCACGGAAAAGCCCATGGTAATAAATTGCAAAAAAATTAAGAGGTAAAGCGAACCCACGGCCTCTACTTAAAAGGCGGTAGCGGAAACCATTACGCTATGACGGCTTTTTTTTAATTTATCTACAAAACAGTTGTTTAAATTTTGATACTAAAAGTTGCGGGATACTATGAATATTTCACTTATACATTAATTCATAATAAAAATGATAAATCCAGTTTTTTGCGGATTTAGGGTCGAAACACAAAACTTCGATGCGACGTCGCAGTCGCAGAAATCTACGAGCTCGCACGACGCATCGCAAGAATTTGCGAATTACTAATTAATCTTCTTTGTGTTTTGTTTCTAAACTTTCTTATCAATAACGGCAGTACAACACTCTTTTTACGATCCATGTCGCAACCTAATTTAAAAAATACATTCAGTACGGTAGATGATCGTCGAAGGCATGGTTACCCGAACCGTGGCAGCCAGATGCCTTGCCGCACGAAATCGCATCGCAGCAATTCGCAGTTTTGTGTTTCGACCCTTAATTCGCTTTTACCCACTCTCCTTAAGTACTTTTCACGTTGGGACACTCCTAAGAGATGCGATTGGCCCATTGGGTAATTTCGACAGAGAGAAATCTACATCTTTGCATATATCTTATGCACGTGATATTATATGGCACAGCAAGATTTTTTTTTAAATAAATAATAGACACACGCCTGGCCACGATCTCACCTGATGTTAAGCGACAATGGGACCGACCATGGTACGCGTTAGACTAAAAAATGCCTATTCACTCAAGTCTTGAATAGCCCCAAATTGTACTTTTTGCTTTTCGCTCCACCGAGTCCAAGGCAGCTAACTGGCAATAGGCAGAGCCGCCGGTGGCAGTAAATTGTGCTTTATACAGATTTAAAAACTGTTCAGGTGTGAAGACCTTGTAAAGCATGCCTAGTTTTTTGGCAGCAATTTTTGCCAAAGCTGAAGTTGGATATAAGTCCAGACCAAGTATCTCGAGGTGGTAACGAAAACAGTCTTTGAAGCATGCTGATGATCCTAAATTATACGTATTTCTAAATGAAGTATTGAAAATGACATAAAAGTGTCAATAGAGAGTCAATTGTTCTCAGGGGTTTCTGTCTTACTAATACAAAATAACATTTATAAAGAAAATAAAATGCCTAAGCCGTTCGGCCCTATCTGATGTTATTTTCCAATCATATAATGCAAACTCGGCTCGCTGAATAAATTTGTATGCTGAGAAACACGTAGGGTACATAATATATTTTTTATTACTTCTCGCGATCGTTACGCAAAAATTTCAATTTGGAATAATTTTTTTTTAAACCACAAAGGTTTCCTTTTGGCATAAACAAGCTTTAGTCATTCTAGGGTTGGAGTTCAATGCCTAATTAATAAATAATAAATAACGCCCACACTCGTAGCCCCGCACTAGGGTAACCCTGTATTCCGGGCGCCATGGACACATATATTACACCCAAAACTCACTAGAAAATAAATGTAGGCCATACGTAAATATTACTTCCGGCACAGGAATCGAACTCGGAACCTCTGCGTAGCAGACCAGTACCAAACCGGTTGCATTATTATTGTTAATTTTTATCTTACTTTATCGTGAAATGTTATTTAATATTCAAATTTATACGACGTCAGTGGTCGAGATGGTTGCACACCGGTTTTTATAATCGCCATCTCTGAGGTCCCGTATTCGATCCCCGGCCGGGCAAAGTAGAAACTCTATAAACTTTTCTATATTGTCTCGGTTCTGGGTGTTTGTGGTACCGTCGTCTCCAATTTCCATGACACAAGTGCTTTAGCTACTTTTTGAGACAGAGCAACCTATGTGATGTCGTCTAATATTTATTTATTTATATTTGAGTTTGATATCATGAAATATTATTCAATAGTAGAGTATAGTACCGTGAAATATTATTCTATAATATAACTTAAATACTTGAATAACAAAAATTACCACGGAAATAAGGCAGAGAACATTAACTCGAGAAAGACCCTTAAATACACCAGCTGGAATCTTTAGGATCAACACGACACATAACCTCCAATTTGGTTAATCCCTAATTAGGTTAGACCCTAGAGATTGTGTTGCCCCCGCAGTAGGGAGGTATCCATGAGGATTTCCCCATCCAAACTAACAAACATAAATGAAAGTTATCACATTTACGTTATAGATTTTGAGATTCCTAGTTAGGTACAGATTGGCTTGAATAAAAATTATACTAAAATTTATAAAAAGAGTTTAATAAAATAAAGTAATAAAAAATAGTGTTTACAAGCTTGACTGCCATGTGGTCTCTATTATATAGGACAAACTTAGCGAAGTATTTGTACCCGCGTCAAACAACATATAGCTGATATCAAACACGGTTGCGTAAACAAGTATACAGTCTGCGAGCATGTCATGGATAAACCTAGACATTCAATCAAGTTTGACAACCCCAGGTCCGTGCTAAAGAAGTCCGTTATCTACCCAGGCTACTGAGAAGCCATTGAAATTAAAAAAAACATCCTAATTTCAACAGGGAAGATGGTTTCTCCGCACCTACCACCAGTTTGGGATCCAGTATTTCCTTTGACGAAAAATCCCAAACAGACATAGACTGCAGTACTAATTATATGTTATAAATTGTTCCAATTTCTATTATAAATTAATAATGGCTTAAAAATTTAGTTTAATAAAAAATCATATAGTTAAAATAAAATAATTTTAGACATATGTAGCGTAAATTTGAAAGTTCCTTGTAAAATTTAAAAATAAGGTATTTAATTAATAACGTTTGTAACTATAGTGAAAAATAAGGTGGTTTGTAGGTTTGCATTAATATGTGACATAACTGGTTGATGACTGTACCACCTCAGTTAACCGTGACGCGTTAGCATAACATAAAATATTACAGATTCAGAGGACATTTAGAGTTACTTAATTCTTTGATATGTTTTAAATAAATATTTAAAGCAATAATAATATTGATTCTTGATTCTTGGGAATTTCGAATAATTAACATTAGCAACGTCGAAACATGTTGAACAAAAAAATCTCACTGTAATACGTAGGCTGTCCATTAGTTTAGGTAATAAAGCTCTTTAATTTTTGTCATCAGATAATGTGCCACTACTTCTGGTTAACGTGTGACGGGATCAGTGACATAGTCTTCGCCTTAGATCTGGTCGTGCAACTCAGGACTGGTTATTTGGAACAGGGGCTCATGGTAAGTTCGTTAACTAAGGTGTAGATACTGTAGAACTTGGACTAACTAATGCACCTATTACATAATTACGACATTCGGATTAGAATCTTCAACTCACCCTTTTGTCCATTGGCGTCAGAAAAGCCACAGAACAATAAATAAAGTAAAAGTGCTAAGAAGGCGGGAGGGCGTATGCCAACAGTACGCGCAGTCCCACATACTTGAACTCAATCCGTCATTTTCGCTTTGTACGTTATAGTCGTGTCAATAATGCATCGAAACCAGAAATAGAGACGAAATAATGGCCATCCATCCCTGGCAACTAATCAGGCAAATGGGCCTTATATCACTTTTAAATATCAACTCTCGTATGCACTGAAATCAAAAGTTCGAAAGCTGAAACAGTACAGCGCCAACAACTGACCTGTGTGTACGTCTCCGTATATTCCAAAAATATTCTGTATGTCGTAGGCTTATTGCAAGAAGCTTATATTATACCGTTCAATAAGTTCACATATAGTACAACACGATTAACTGTCGTTCACGAATTTTTTGTCGTTACGACGACAGACTGTCGTGAACTCTTGCGGCAATACAAAAATATAATCAGCCTAACCGGACTCGGTCCAGCGTCTGTTGACATGCCGGGGCCACCGCTCCTAACCATTTAAACTACAGAACGAACGCAGATCTTATGATTTTTTTTATGTAACAAATTATAGATCAATATCTATAATTTGTTGTCCATTTGGGTATTCATTTTAAACGGCTGTTTTGTCGTCAGAGCCAGCCAAGAGACACATCATTATGTACGTTGTTATTTGGTTTCATGGTCCCTGGTGTACCCTTAAAGGATTTAGAGGTATTGTTTGAAGACCATTAATATGTAGCTCTGTTCTTCGTGCTTCTTCTTTTAAGCAACCGATCGGTGTTATCCTCCCTACATTCTGACCTTTATCACTTTGTTACAGGTATACGATTCAAAGAAGCTTGCAAAGCACTACCTAGCATCGCGGTCGTTTCTGCTCGACATCGCATCTCTTACCCCTCTTGACCTGTTGCAGCTGAAAATTGGGACTAACCCTATTATACGGTTTCCTAGGTTTTTTAAGGTAAGTTTTTTAAATAGGCAAATGCTTGTCCACTACCTCACTTAATTTTAGAGACGATTTGCCCGAATTTAAGAGCCGATTTGCCCGACGCCGTTAGTATAGTATAACAAAACCAACTAGTGCAACTCCCGCCTGTTCAGCGCATCAATGTAATGACTTACGCTCGGAGCGTAAAACATAATTTTGATAATAAGATTTCAACAAAATACTTGTGTTACTTTACTAATTATCAGTAATCAAAAAGTGGACACTGCTTTACGACAATATTTTTCCGGTCCTGAATCTTTTCAGGACTTAGCAGTAGAGCTCCTTGTGAAAGAGTTCGTCCAGGGAAGTACTGCCACCATACCTATTTCTGCCGCCAAGCAGTAATGTCAGCATTACTGTGGTCTGGTTTTGAAGGGTACGACCATCAAGCGCACGACTTGTTCGTCCCGTTGCTTAATATTTAGGGGTTAAAGTATGAAATTGCCGTTTTATTGCAATAGGTTCTTTGAATTTTCATAGAATCTTTATGGTTTGAGGTTTTCGAATGAAACTTTTTTCAAATGGTTTCTGTGA